AAAAAAAGATCGTCGACTTACATACGTTCGGCATACCCGTAAAAGTTCATATACAAGACCCGGGTCTTGTACATTCCACCAATTTTTAAACCTTTTAGTAGACCCGGGGTCTAGTACTCGCCCAGAGCTTATGACGTGAAAAAAAAAATTTAAAGAGCTTACACACCTTATATTTATAATAGGCATTCTGGCTATTTGAAAAACCCGGGTCTAATTCATGATGGGTATGAACTTTTACGGTAATACCCTCACGAAATTAAAAGTCGTAGCCCTCTAAATAGTTTATAATAGTTTTTTTTATATATAATTGTTAAGCAAGGCAAAATTCATATTTAAAAAAAAAAATTATCAAAAAAAAGTTTTTGCTTAACTTTTATTAGTGGGGTTAGCTTCGCCATAATACGTACCCACACTCACCTTATGTTTGTCTTATTTTACTTATTAAACCAGTTGACGTAATATGCTTTGAAATGATTCTTTTGAATATCCGAAGATAGAATTCGTACGTAAGTGAAACATCTTAAAAAGTGTAAATGTATAAGTTGTATAAAATCGACCAGTCACGAGAAAGTTAGCCTATAGTAGTAGTACAAAGTATTACATATTACATCAAAGGTAATTAAGATTACTAAACAATACGGAATTACATTTTTACGTTGATTATTTGATAATCTTTATATGATTTAAAAACTGATGAAATAAGTACTCCTGTCCTGCATTTTTCTGCAATTTTTTTTTTCTCTAAATTTAAAATTTAAGAATGGCTCAAAGAGTTCAACAGATTACAGGACATTTTTCAGGCAGCTATAACCCTGCCGTTGCTAGGGTTGGTCAAAAAAGTCCTGAAGATGTCGTTATAGTTGTTGCAGCTCGTACTCCCATGACAAAATCGAAAAAAGGTGGTTTCAAGGATGCTCTACCTGAGGAGCTCTTGGGTGCCGTTTTAAAGGCTGTTCTCGATAAATCAAAAATAGACCCAAGACTTATTCAGGACATTGCAGTTGGAAATGTACTTCCTGCCGGTGGTGGTGCTACAGTTGCTCGTGCTGCCTCTTTGTACGCTGGCATTCCCGACACTTGTGCCTTGAACACTGTTAATAGACAATGTTCTTCTGGCCTCCAGGCTGTTACACAAATTGCTCATGAAATTGCTTTGGATCAAATTGAAATTGGAATTGGTAATATTAATTTCTCAAATAAGTGATATCAAGGAAGACTTGGAAATTTTATCTAAAGTTTTCCTTCGCGATATTCAGATGTCAATCAATTGAAATTTTGTGTTTAACATTCATCAATTTAATAACTTGTTATGGTCTTAGGTGCCGGTGTTGAATCTATGACCCATGGATATGGTGCTGGTGCAATGCCCCCTGATACATCTGAGAAGGTCTTTTCAAACCAACAATCAGCCGATTGCTTATTGCCTATGGGAATTACTTCCGAAAATGTTGCAAAGGAATTCGGCATTACTCGTGCCCAGCAGGATGCTTTTGCCGTTGAATCTCATAAAAAAGCTGCTGCTGCCCAAGCAGCTGGACTTTTCAAGGATGAAATTATTCCCGTGGAGACTAAATGGATTGATCCCAAAACTGGTGAAGAAAAAACTATTATTGTCTCTGCCGATGACGGTATTCGTAAAGATACTACACTTGAAGGTTTGGCTAAATTAAAGCCCGCTTTTGCGAAGGATGGTTCTACGACTGCTGGTACATCATCACAAGTTTCAGATGGTGCAGCCGCAGTTTTGTTAATGAAACGAAAAACTGCTGAAAAACTTGGTTTACCAATTCTTGGTAAATTTATTCGTTCTGCGGCTGTTGGTGTTCCACCTCATGTTATGGGTATTGGTCCAGCCTACGCTATTCCTGAAGTGCTTAAACGAACTGGTCTTGGAATTAATGACATCGATATTTACGAAATTAATGAGGCTTTCGCTTCCCAAGCTGTTTATTGCGTCGAAAAATTGGGCATTGACAAGAAAAAGGTTAATCCAAAAGGAGGTGCGATTGCCATCGGACATCCTCTTGGATGTACAGGTGCACGCCAAGTTTCTACACTTTTGTATGAGCTAAGAAGAACAAGGAAGAAACTTGGTGTAATTTCTATGTGTGTTGGCTCTGGTATGGGTATGGCGGCAGTATTTGAAGCCGAATGGTAATTTTTTCTTATTAAGGACGTTTATTATATGCGAATTGTAGTTCATAGAAATAGTACATGATGATAAATAATTTCCTTTCCAAAAAAAAAAATGAACGTTGTAATATTTGATATTTACATAATTTATTTTTGTAAGACGAATGTCTAATAGTGATAATAAAAATTTTTATAATAATATACATGTTGGAAAATGTGACAAACTTCAGTAGAGTATAACCTTCACATTCATATTCTAAATAATTAGACTTTATTAACTCCCTGGTACATTAATTAACATTACTCGCCTAAAATTATTTATACCCCAGTTAAAAATGTATGGTTTACTTTTTTATTGATAAAAAAAATATATATACAAGACACCAAATTTTAATACGGTAAACCATTAAAAAGACTTATTTATTACGCAAAGAAAAACTCTCTGCGCAAAAACAAAAATCTTTTTAATTATTGATATAGCACACTAATGACTCAAGCCAAACCAATAGTCAATCGATTTGTCAAACGTTGAATGGTAAGGGATCTAAGGAGTGTGCTCTGGGAAATCATCATAAAAAGATTTGATTTATATGAACAGATGATCGCAAGATAATCAGTCATCATTAATCACACGATCATGTGATTATATGAATGAATATATTTGTGAATCCCACACATGGTGTGATAAATTAAAATTAATATAAATAATTTCAGTTTTAATTAATCGCAATTGATCACACCATGTGTGGGATTCACTTTGGATCGGGTACGTTTCCTCCTGTTACTGTAACTGTAACTAAAATAACCCTTTTCTTTGTTAGGGTGAGGTAAAGATAGTAAAATTTATTTTTGTTAGAACCCAAAGAGTAGTTTCATATACTCAATTTTGAGTAACGTTTGTTTTGAATTTTCCTGATTGTGTTATGTTACACCTAATCTTTAAATTTGATTGGCTTTTATTGGATGCGGCTACGGCTACAAATATATATTACTCTAAAAATTAATATATGCAAATTATTGAAGGTATCATCCTTGCTTATATTGATCCACCTGTTGCTTTTGCTTAGCTTCCCATTCATCCCATATTTCTCTATGATCTAACCATCTTTCTTGCACATCCATGACATCGTGAAAACTATTTACATCACTCATTGCAGTCAACATAATACTTTCATTACCTTCTGTCAATCCGCCAAATACATATCCATTTGCTTTGTCTATTACTTTAACAAGATCCATCACCGACTTCTTGTCCTATATATATTAAGAAATCAATTATCATGAAATTTATTGTCGTGGATGATACTGAAATTCAATAATTTGATCGGTTAGAATTAAGGTGATCCGCAAAATTTTGCCAATAGGATTTTTTATTTTCAGTATCATCCAAATTTCGAGACATTTATTAAATAACTTAAGCAAATTAAGGAATATGCACACCTCTATACAAAGTGTATAAAATCCAACTAAACTAAAGTCTTCTACTAATCCACATAATGCTTTATTTAATTCTTTAAATTTATTTGCGAATGGATCAGAATTTAAATGCTCTAATAAATATGATAAGTCTTGTACTTCGGTATAAAAATCCAAGTTAAAAGCTAAAATGAATATTATTTTTAAATTTGTTATTAATAGAAAGTCAATATAACTGATTCAATATTCTATATAAACATAACATTACCTAATTTGCCATACGATTCCATTAGATCAACCTTTGAAAGTACATTTACATGAGGTAATTCAATCTGTAACATTGTTTTAAGTGACAATAATAATGCTGAAATATATTTTGATGGGTCAGTACAATAATGTGCATCTACCAGATGAACCGTTACAAGCTAATAAAAATGAACACAAATAAAAGTTAAATAACTAGAAAATTAATTATATGAAAAATAAGGGTTGGAACCGTTTAACCGCATAAAAATTTCTATAGTTCTAATCAAATTACATTGGTCATTGGCCAAAATTATCTTTAATGCCAGGTTAATTAAATGATTAATACGGTTAAATAATTAGAAACATTTTAGGCGGTTTCAATCCCTAAAATAAAATAGATTAAGAATTGAAATGTCATTCATTACCCTGTAGTCCAACTTTTGCAATCTTTCAATGATATTTTTAACCGATCCGTGATGAGTAAAGAGTTCAACTTGACCAGGAAAATCGAATAAAAAATATTCATCTATTTTATATGGGCGCGTCACCCAACAATAAAATATATTCGTGTTGTTAACTAAGGTAGGTAATTAAATAGGCTAGAAATCTCAAATATATAAAACGAACCTTTTAAGCTCTTTAGCTTTTCCTCAAGCCAATCAATGTTTTTTTCTAAATATTCCATACAATACATCATACCCCCATTTGGACCTAACTTAAATTCTTCCATAACTTCCTCTAATGTAATTAAATCTGCCATATTTATTGCACATTCATATGGTAAAAAATCATTTGCCGGATCGAGATTCACTACCGAAATTTTTCTATGGATGTTGAACGATCAAAACAATAAATTAATTATGCTATTTTAAAATAACATTCACACAATTTGCACAAAAGAACTAGTTAGCCAAGTTAACAAAATGTTCTAGCTTACTTACCTCCCCGTGGCGCGAAGGAATTGTTGCATGCCATTACAATAAGTAGTTTTTCCCGATCCGGGAGGCCCAATAACAACCTTAATGTGCCAACAATTTGTAAAATGTTAAACCATGAAAAATATTGACAAGTGAAACAATGTTCGTTACCTGCCCAAAAGGCATAATGAATCTTATTAAACTCGCCAGGTGCGTTTATGACCAAATTTCCAGTTCAATCGGAAGCGATAAACAGTTGTGGAACCACGTGTCGGATCAAAATTAGAGATTACATTAATTTTATTTATCTAATATATATATCGATATATAATATTAAATTACATTTTGACTAATTACATTTTAACTACATATTCACAAATTATATATATATTTAAATACATTATTACTAGCATAATTAGAAGTTGATTTTTATTCTTACGAGATCGCTTCAATTGTTGAAAAGTTCGGGTGTAAGA